ACATTTTTTATTTATATCGCACTAAGATCATAAGACCAACTATGCAAATTGATATAATATCTAGATGCTCTAAATTTATCTAGCTTATATATTCACATGATTTATATATGTATTAAGTGCGTATAAGTTTGAGAAGTAAACAATTTTCATAAAAATAAAAAAGAAAAAGCAAATCTTTCCGACTAAAAAAGGGAAAGAAAACAAAATTTAGTTAAACTAAGTACTCATTTGGATGTGCTTTTAAAATGACTGAAAACGTTTTTAGAGAAAATGTTTTTGGATTCCAAAATCACTTAAAGTGCTTTATGTAAGAAGCACCAGTTATGTGCTTCTTCAAGGAAGCACTTTAAGTGCTTTTCCAAGATTTATTTGCATATTTACTAAAAATTGGTTCTAAAATTTTTTTTACCAAAAGCACTTTCAGTTATTTTAAAATTACATCCAAACGAGCCATAACCTATCAAAGATTGGGTACGAACCATAAAGGTGCATTATGCAACTGGGACCAAGAACGAATCTTGGGGCAACTAAAATGCCTAATACTTTTATTTGTGAAGTAAAATACTCCAAAGTCACATCCAGTTGAGTCGTAACACGAGTAATCAAAGGCAAAATAAATAATGTTTCTTTCTAACTTCTGACCATGGGGGTACGATATACGGCGGAATGGTGGTTGCTCACAAATAATACCCGATCACCAAGTTCAACAACCTCCATCCATTGTGGACCACCATCAAAATTGCATTCCAGTTTGAACACTCGAAATCCTTTAGTCATTGGGTGGCTCAGTGTAACTAAAGGCCTTTCCAAGCATGCTCTTATGCCAAGGATCGGCTATTAAACACGTTTCTTGTTTAGGCTTTTATGCAGAGTCTGCCTTATGAAAAATCATAAATAACTCCATAAATGCAGAATCTTTTGGTAGGTGAACGAAATCACAGCCATTGTAATGTTCTACTATTGATCCATCACATTCAACGAATTTGTACCAATTGGACGTCTCCATCTGCATCAGCCACAGACCAGGTTAATGAGGTCATAATCTGAGGAGATAAGCTGCCTGCATCGTACCAAATCGGAGGAGATAAGCTGATATTGTCCAATCTTAGTCTTAGCTCAGGGGTGCCTACTCCTACCCCGACTCTGACCCTAAGACCATCTTCAATTTTTGGCCTAAAATTTAAAATTTTTAACCAAGAAAATTTAGGTTTTAACCCATAAACAATTTTTTAGCTCCCACCATTCTGGGCTAAAATTTTAGCCCCAGATTATTAAAAAATGAATTAAGATTAATTTTTTACTTAAAGTAACTTTTTTAAAAGTAAAAATTTATATAGACTATCCTAATATAATTTTATGAACATTTTAACCTAAAAATATTTAGATTCTGACAAATACTGAAAAATCACTAACCAACACAATGAAACGCGTTAAACAATATGAAAAAATGTGAACCAAATGAAAGATTTTTTTTTTAATTATTTTAGCCGTTAGATATAAATTTAGACAGTTAAATTTTTTATTTTTTTTACCGTTGAATTTCATTAAATTAGATCTTAACCGTTGGATTCAATGAATTTATAAATATAAAATAAAATAAAATATACATATATGGTGGGCCAGACCACTAATCCTGGGTAAATTTGGCTTCCATTTGAGTTTTAGGTTTTAGCTCATATTTTAGCCTTGGGTTGGGTTGAGTTTTTGGGGGGAATATAAGTGGAAATTTTAGTTTTAGCCTAGGGTTGGAGAATGTCTAAACAAGAAAAACAAAGCGTCAAAAAAGGATTTAGGACAAGTCCGGTGTCTAAGCAGCTAGTGATCTGCCATCAACAATTGTAGTACAGGCGTCACATTTGCGGAGTCCAAGCTTTAGAAAGGGGATCTTCGGATCACTTCCATTAAATCCACTCAATCAATGAATATGAGTCCTTCAAATTTGATTCAAGGCTAAAAACATAAAGCCCTTTTAAAAATTATAATAACTTTAGCCGTTAGATCAAATTTCAAAGATCCAGATTAATTGATTTAGTGGACTTGATGGAAGGGACCCACAGAAGATCCTTTTTCCAAGTTTTATACCCATTGGCAGGGTCACTAGGACCCACATCCTCTTCACTCCTCAATTGGAAATCTAGAATTCAATTCAACCTTGTTCAAGTAGATATGGTATTATTATCTCCTTAAAAACATTGTTAAATTCCATCTCTTATTACGATTTTGAATGTTCTTTTATTGCGATTTTATCCATCATAACACACGTGCTAACTTGGAGTGATTTTTGAAAATATAACGATTTTAATTGTTCTTTTATTACGATTTTGATTACGATTTTCTCCATCATAACATATGGCGGAATGGTGGTTTCTCACAAATAATACCCGATCACCAAGTTCAACAACCTCCATCCATTGTGGACCACCATCAATATCACACTCCAGTTTGAACACTCGAAATCCTTTAGTCTTAGATGGCTCAGTGTAACTAAAGGTCTTTCCAAGCATGACCATATGCCAAGGATTGACTACTAAACACGTTTCTTGTTGAGGCTTGTATGCATAGTCTGCCTCATGAAAAATCATAAACAACTCCATTAGATGCAGAATCTTTTGCTAGGTGAACGAAATCACGACCAATTTAACGTTGAGTCCCTTTCCACCTAATCCACGTAGTTCGGGATCCAGACCGTTGAAATTTGATCTAACGGTTAAAAATATGATGCTCATTTAAAAGTTATAATAACTTTAACTGTTAGATCAAATTTCAAGGACACGAATTCATTGATTTGATGGATTTGATGGAAGAGATCCGAAGAGGATCCCTTTCCCAAGTTTTACACCCATTGGCAGTGTCACTGGGACCCACCTCCTCCTCCCACCTCCTCTTCACTCCTCAATTGGAAATCTGGAATTCAATTCAAGCTTGTTCAAGTAGATATGGAATTATTGTCTTCTTAAAAACATTGTTAAATTTCATCTCCTATTACGATTTTGACTGTTCTCTTGTAACGATTTTCTCCATTATAACACACGTGCTAACTTGGAGAGATTTTAGAAAATATAACGAGAACAATATCCAAAAAACCATTTCCCACCTCCGGGCTGAGTTGCGGGTGGTTCTATCCTGAGTATCTAAAAATCCAGTAATACCTTTGCACTCCTTCTATAATCAACTTAATGCAAGACCACCCATGAACCTCGAACCTACTTCATTAGGCTTAACCAAAGATATTAGTATTATTTCCCCTAACGTAAGTACAATGGTGCATGTAGTGTTATGGCACAAGACCTCCGATTTTCTAAAACCCTCAAGGTTTTAATCTAATAGAGACGATCTATAAATCTAAATCCGATCACGTATGTACAATCTCTGAATAGTGTAACCATTTTTGTTCATGTAGCTTGGGAGCATCAAAATTTCGACTTTAATACACAACTGTACCTGTACACTTTTTTATTTATGTCGCACAAGGATTATAAGACCGACCATGCAAATTGATGAATACTCCACATTCATCTAATTTATGAAAAGAGAGACTTGGACTCGAACGCAAGTGACATATCCCAAACCTACGACTTGCTTGGGGATTCAAACCTGCGCATATATATTTTCAAAGATTTAATTCACAAAACTGTAAATTCAGAAAGTGCAAAAGAACAATATAAAGAGCAAAAGTTAATTAATTGGTGCTATGTTCAATTAATCTAGCGGATGCAATCTGCGACTATATTAATTAAAGCCCAAATAATGAGGAGTAAATATTAAACGACATTGTTGTTGTAACTATTCGAGATTTATTTGTTTAATATATAGTTCTATTATATTTAATTAAAGTGCTTTGTTAAATTATGTTTTTTTCATAAATCAATGAAACATTATAATTAAATTTTGTTTCTCAAATAAAAAGGGGTACATCTTAAAAATCTAATAAGATAACCTAATAATTATATGTACCCAAACCAATTTGTGGTGCTAGGTTCGTCTTCACTAAAGATTCGAGGTGCCATGTCCGTCATCACTGAAAATATTTATCCTTCTTGTCACTTTCCTTCATTTGTGCCTTCAAAAAGCTTTTGTGTTCGGTGATGCTTTGTCGTCAACCTTCATGAACATAGCTTTTTGATCTCTTTTATCGAGCACAAGTTCCTTGCATACTCAACTTGGCTTCTTTAAAATGCACCACTCCCTTTGTTAGTCTCACCTTTTAACATCGTTTATTTTGGAACAACGTTGGAAGCACGCTTAATAATTCAGTATTTTACAAATTTTCACAACTTTCCAACATTTGTGATTGTTGAACCTTGTGATGAATTTGGGCAAAATTAGGTGCCAATTGTTTGCTTGCATCAACTAAAACAAATAAAGTGGGAAATAATTAATTATCTATAAAAAAAAAAAAAAAAAAAAAAAGGGTAGGTGCTAATAAAAAAATTAGAAAATTGTTACCTCATCCCCAATATTTGTCACCTTGATAATTTTTCACCGCTTTTGTCGGAGCATCTCTATATTTGCCTAATGCAAAACTTAAATTTTTTATCATACTGTAAGTGCACTTTTCCTACGACTAGTTCCATACCGACTGCTATAATTTTCATGAAATTTCTTCCACACAAGAAAACATTTTTCAGCGATTAACCATGCAGTTTCTGGGATCACTAGTAGAAAAAAGCTCATCTACCACGGTCAATGCCCGTGATAGATTGCAATCCACCACGGGCACCTGTGCCCGTTACTAATCTGAATGTGATAAAAAGTCTTAGTTTCTACCACGGACCATGCCCGTTGTCAAATGTGAGATAAACACGGATTGTACCCGTGGTAGATTGAGATCTAACACCACATTCATTATGGCCGTTGTGAATTACAAATTGACCACGGCTAACGACCGTCACAAAAAATTTCACAAAAATAATAATAAATCATTTAAAATATAAACAAATTTACTACAATACAATAATTACATAAACAAATCACAAAATCAAATATTACAAACCGCATACTAAAGCTAACGATGAGTTATATTAGAAATATCAAACTATCCACAAAGTATCAAATAATAAAAATAATAAATCATTTAATATATAAACAAATTTACTACAATACAATAATTACATAAAGAAATCACAAAATCAAATATTACAAACTGCACACTAAAGCTAACGACGAGTTGTACTAGAAATATCAAACTATCCACAAAGTATCAAATAGGTCTCCAATAACAAGAACACTTGAAGACTTCAAATTTCTTTGAACATCTCCAAACAAAGGACCTTGAGAGTGAACTACTGCCCCTAATACTTGAGCCTCAGCAATTGCTGCCTCTCTCTATTTGCATGGACATAAGCATATGGATCACAAGAAAAAAAAATATTGTACTCGTATAGGTGGAAATATACATTTGATCTCAATCAAGAAAAGTAAATAGAGTTTCTGCCTCTAAACCTTTCTACTCATGCATTCCTTTGCAATTGAACTCTTGACAAAATTATAATAAGAGGAGTCCTTTGAGAAAAGATAAACACATGATTAGATTATGAACCTACTAAATAGAGCCATTGCGTATAATTCTGCAAATACATACTATACAAGATTAACCAAACCAATAGCATAAACAAAGATTTTTTTTTTATAAACCATAAACAATAGTAACCATATCAAAAGTAAAATCTAATAAACAATAGCGATTTGAGAAATTGAAATTATAGAAATATACAGAGGACGCACCTGTAGAAGTTAAACATAGAAACACAATTTCATCAATGGTGAAGATTCGCCGCCCAGAATTTAATTGATCTGTACGATTCACTGTAGTGCAAAATAGCATACATATCAAATATACCTCAATTCATTGTTTTTCCTTGTTTTATTTTTTTAAAATGAAAGCTTAATAATTCAAGAGTAACTTGCAAATTGTAATAACCCTCAATTAACAAAAGCAATAGAAAAGGAAAAAGAAGCATTAAGACCTTTAAACTAGCAAAACCCAGCCACTTGCAAAACATCTATATTGGCAGAATTAGCCAAATTTCAACCCCTTGTTCCTTCTTCCTACTTCTATTAGTCACTATAATAGCAGTTCGCCTACAAAAGGCCAACAGAAAGTGTGAATGTAAATGTACCTCAGCCAGGTCGAGATGCAAATCGTCTTTTAAATGGAAAGATAAAAACCGACAGCAAGCCCTGCAAGGCCTAGGACACCTTGAACAAAATACCATGGCAACAGCCACATTGTCAGGGCACAATTCGACCCCAAAAATTTTCACACTGCTCGTTCTCTGCTTGGTCATGCTTGGAGAAGGCATGCTTGCCTCCTAGTTATCAACATATCCCTTTCTCTTGCACCTTATCGTATTGAACCAAAACTAAGTAAAGCTTTAATCTTTATCACATTTAGCCAAAATCGAATTGTTAAAAAACATACTTATTCATAATTTCACTTTAATGGCAGAATAATCACGGTATCATTTCAATAAATGGAATTAAATTTTAATATCTTTACAAAGAAATCGAGAGACGTACAAATCCTGGAATTGAGGAATGGCTGGTCATCCAAGTCGAGCCGGCGACTGGGCGAGGCCATGGGGACGGCGACCGACATATCGTTCTCTAGAGAAAGCTTCCGGCGGGCTCTGCGTCAGTGATGAGTTCTTGTGTGGGTGCCGGACAGAAGACGGTTGCGATTTCGAAGAAGAGGGGGACGGGGCTTTGGGGAGAGAAATGAGTAGTTTGGATAACAAATTTGATCGAGTTGGTTCTGATAACATATTTGAGAGTACTATTAAATAAGTTAATCTACAACATTCATATATCGTGATTGATTTCAAGAAGGCGCTGTGATTAAATTTATTTCAACAACAGGTTACCCTTGTGGTCATATCAAATAACTGCAACGAGCTTTACTTGAGCGTTATTATTCTAACATGTTCTATTACGGGCCGATTTTGTCTGTTGTTAAAACCATTTACTCACAACGGACTTTAAATGTCCGTGGTAATATTGGATATTCTACAACGAGTCTTTTATGTCCGTGGTGAATTAACTGTGATAAATGTGGTGCTGTCTTGTAGTGGATGGTGACAATTGACAAGGCCGAGCCCTCTCTTCTCTCGTTTTCCAACCCGAAGTGCATTGATGTGAATAAAGCAGCAAAAAATAAAAACAACAAAATAGTACATAGTAAGAAGTCCTGGTTGATCGATCAATAACGTGATTTCGTTGCACGCATGCACGTACTGCATTGATATGCCCTACCAAATCCTTAGTCCCTCGTCGTATATGTTACATAGACACCACCAACTTTGTGGTAACTTTAAATGAGTGTCATTACACCCCATTACTCTCACCCACCAACCCCCTCTCATACTTTAATTGCAAAACCTACCAAATTGAGACATGAAAACCCTAAAACCTTCCGCTTCTCTAACACTATATAATAACACTAACACCTTCCCAATTCTAAATCATTTCATACTTCCTTGAGACCCTCATCTTTTCCCAATTCATTCTGCATCTTCACGCCTCACTCTCCCTCCCTTCTCAATTCTTCCTAACTCTCGTCCATGCAAGGATATACTTCCTTTCGAAACACAAGAGGCTTTAGCATCATTTTCCAACTATGAAAAGGTATTGGATCCCATATTTGAAATGTTGTAATTGCTTCTGTTGATTATAGACTTTATAATTTGTAATTTTATTTTAAGATTTATGTATAAGATTTGCTAGTGTGATAAGAGACTTCAAGTTGGTGAAAAACAAAGCAGAGCACAAAAATAACCAATGAAGGATTAATGGTATGCGGACTCTTTCAGGATCCTTTCTGATATGTCGACGAAAGTGGTCAGGAAGGGGAGCAATTGCTGAACCGGTGAGATAACCAGAAATCAGATTCACCACAGCGATGGTTTGCTTCCGTATCTTTCAATGCGTATTAATTGTGCTGTTTATTTATTTTAATTATTCCAGCTATCACAGCCATAACATCCTACATATATCACCTTCACATCATGATTCCATTTGTGATTTTGGATTTAATTATAGTAGGGATCATCCATCGATATAGGGCAAAAATCACCCGAAGGTAGTCGAGTTCTTAGGAATCGAATACTTCAAGAGAAGTAATAGAGGTATTTTTATGGGCTTTAGGACTCTACTTACAAAATATCATTGACCCCGAATGCATAATTTGCCTCTTCACCCTACTGAACTGTTCGTATTACCTGATTTCCTTTGTCCTGTTTCTGAGACATACTAAAGTTCTAATTTTTCTGGAATTTGCACTAGAAATAAATGTCGTTATTTTAGTACATATTTAGAAAATTGATTGATAGTGGCAAAAAACTTAAAAGGTTACGAATATGGATTATTTGGTCAAAAGAATAGAGATGCAAGTTGTAATTGATAGACCAAATAATTCATATTTGTAACCTTTAAGTTTTTTGCCATTATCAATCAATTTTATAAAATGTACTAAAATAACGGCATTTATTCCTAATGCAAAGTCCAGAAAAGTTAGAACTATAGTATGTCTCAGAAATAGGACAAAGGAAATCAGGTAATATGAGCAGTTCAGAAGGGTGAAGAGGCAAATTATGCATTCGAGGTTAATGATATTCTGTAAGTAGAGTCCTAAAGCCCATATAAATACCTCTATTACTTCTCTGAAGTATTCAATTTCTAAGAACTCGACTAACTTAGGAATGATTTTTGCCCTATATCGGTGGATGATCCCCACTATAATTAAATCCAAAATCCATATTCGTAACCTTTTAAGTTTTTTGCCACTATCAATCAATTTTATAAAATGTACTAAAATAACGGCATTTATTCCTAGTGCAAGGTCCAGAAAAGTTAGAACTGTAGTATGTCTCAGAAATAGGACAAAGGAAATCAGGTAATACAAATAGTTCAGTAGGGTGAAGAGTCAAATTATGCATTCGGGGTTAATGATATTATGTAAGTAGAGTCCTAAAGCCCATATAAATACCTCTATTAGTTCTCTGAAGTATTCAATTTCTAAGAACTCAACTACCTTAGGAATGATTTTTGCCCTATATTGATGGATGACCCCACTATAATTAAATCCAAAATCACAAATTGAATCATGATACGAAGGTAATGTACGTAGGATGTTATATCTGCGATAGCTGAAATAATTAAAATAAACAACACAATTAATACATATTGAAAGATATGGAAGCAAACCATCGCTGTGGTGAATCTGATTTCCGGTTAACTCACCGGTTCAGCAATTGCTCCCCTTCCTGACCACTATCGTCGACATATCAGAAAGGATCCTGAAAGAGTCCGCATACCATTAATCCTTCATTCGTTATTTTTGTGCTCTGCTTTTTTTTTTTTTTTTTTTCACCAACTTTAAATCTCTTATCACACTAGCAAATCTTATACATAAATCTTCAAATAAAATTACAAATTATAAAGTCTAGGATCAACAAAAGCCATTACAACATTTCAGATATGGGATACAATACCTTTTCAAAGTTGGAAAATGATGTTAAAGCCTCTTGTGTTTCGGAAGCAAGTATATCCTTGTTGGCCACGATGAATGCGCATTGACCGCCAACTTCTTGCTGGCCCCGGCTCATACCACTTGTTGGCCGGTGATTGTTCGTGCGGCTCAGTCTGCTGGTGCTTCGGGGTTGATGATACTCCATAAGCAATTTCAACGAAAGGAAGTGGAAAAAAGGAAGGACGTGTGTTGGGATCAAGGATAACCAACTTAACGACCCCATAGCTAAGAGGACCGCCATTGGCGTCTTCGCTCATCTCAAATGTATACCATTAAAAACTTGGACGCTAAGGATGTTGTAGCATATAACTTACCACCCAGTATATATATATATCATTAACCCAGGGTACTGATTGAGGTTCATGACTTACCCCTTGACCCCGTTTGCAAAGACAAACCACAAAACATGGCTCCTGGCTGATTGTTTTTGGTTCAGAAGAGGCAATAATTTTAGAAACGGAGAAGCCACGACCATTGATGCAGTGGCATGGAAGGTGGATTGCAACGAGGGGAGCATCACTCGATCGCGAGATATTGGATTGAAGAAGAAGAATTCTATTTTAAAACTAGGGTTCTGAGAATTCGTTAGGTAGAATGACCAGGGTTTCATAAAACCCTTTGGGACGCCTCAACGCACTGTCGATCATGATCAACCATCCCTCTTTTGAGCCAACACAATCCATCCTATTCATTGTACAATAAAAAATTGGATTTGGCCATGATCGTAGAAATTTAGATTCTTTCCAATCACCTGGACTTAAAATGCAATGATCTATAGTGGACATGGGATGAGAGCTTAACATAAGCCATGGAACTTGATCCTGAGAGAGGGGACGACGTGATTGAATGCTTCTAATAATTGCTTGCCATGAACGGCATACTGCAGCGCATCGAAGATGATCATTCTTCCTCTTCTTGTTATTATGAAGATGATCATTCTCAACTTCCGGCCAATGAAATCGAGAATGAGCAACAAAAACACTCTTGATAGGCGGTATATGTTACTTTTCGTTTGATAATCATTTTGTTCTCAATTTCAATTTTTGCGTTCACTTTGGTAACTACTTTCAGTTTTCAAAACATAAAAAGCTGAAAATTGAGAATGACTTTTTCGAATTTCAAAATTTAATCTTGAGTTTTTACTTTTTGATTTTTATTTTTTAGTTCAAGATTCTTAAGGGCGAATGTAATTGTCGATGCCAAGTATTTTGAATCTATATATATGTTCCAACTACTAAGTACAGTGAATTACAAATTCGTGTAATTTCAAAATTAGGAGAAAAGAAACTCATATGGTTGTATATCCAAACATTTAAGTGGGCCAAATTTTATCCTTTTGTAAGCCAGCATATGATACGCTGACAAAATGATGAATAACATCGTATCAAACTCCCGAGAAGAGGGATTGAGATTCTTTTCGGATTTTAATGGCTGGAGTATAAAAATCAGGAGATTTGTACCATTCAAGAGATAACAAAAGAGATCCAGGCCGTTTAAGTTTTTGAGTTTTTGTGAAATAGGCTAATGGAGACCGTAAAATTGAAATTGAATGGTCAAAATCTCTTAGTTTACCAACTCTTAGCACAGGGATCCGGAGCAAATCCTATTCCCAACAAGTGAACATTCTCAACTGATTCTTTTGTGTGTTGGCATTTACATCTATTCTTTTCTCTTGCATTTCTGGTACTTTTTCCGCTGCGAATCTGAACAATTAGGTAGCTTTGGTATTCGAAAAGAAAAAGAAAAGATTCAGCCCACGGATAGGGCTGCACTGCCCCAAGTTTTGGCTACACAAAGACTTGAAGCTTCAATACGATTACAATATATATACATATATGTATATATGTATGTATGTGTGTGTATGTATATAGGAAGTTAAGGAATATAAAGATCCTTACATACATGAGAAGATATGCAAGCATGAATATTTATGCCAGCCAAATGATAGAGTGTCAGGTACAACTAGTTGATCAAATTTTAGTATTCCCTAATAATGTAAACTCAGGAATCAATGGCTACTTTTTTTCACCCCAACTTGATCATAATTCTCAGACAACATATATATATATATATATATATATATATATATATATATATATATATATATATATATATATAGTAGGATGACATCCATATGTCTTTATCCTTAACCACCCCACCCCCACCCCAAATTGAAGATTCTTGTATCCCGTCATATATAACTACATTACTTGTATTCATTACATGATTAGAGATATAAATATAAGAGGATACACTCCGATTGTGAAGATTTTAGATACGTACATGTCTTAAGAACTTGTGTGAT